GCTTAAACCCAAAACCCTAAAACCAGGCACTGACAAGGTCTGCACCTTCGTGAATGAGCCTAAGACACCTGGCTCGGTTTCAGTTTTATTCGGTATAAGGTTTAGGGTTGGAGTTTAGGGAAAGTTTCGGATTTAGGGTCTAGGGATCTATCCCTTTGCCTGCCTGTGCTTTCCCACGCTTGACTTGCTGTGGTTGTGCAAAGGCTCAGGCTTCGGTCGCGCGAAGCCGCAGGCCTTCATGGAGAAGCCTGAGTAATCTAACGTATGTTTCCTGGCTACACTTCTCTCTTTTAGATGCTTCGATACCCTACTCTGGTTTCCAAGGCTTCTAGTAAATTCCGAACTTGCCAGGGTTGGGGCTTTTGAACCTGAGGTCTGTAGACTTTTGCAATGTAGGGGCAGATGATAAGTAATACTATTCCGGAGGATGCCTTAAGCTGTTTATGGTATAAGGTCCCCCCTAAAACAGTCGTCAATTTGTTTAAGCCTCTGTAGCATCCGTGCGTGGGAACCGCAGACTTAACACTGCCTTCCTTCGTGGTCAGGATACCCTACTTCTGGGATGAGAAATGCGTGGTGGAGCTGCTTGCCTGCAATCTCCGCAGATTTTCAAGCGTCAATCCGCTCTTCCGCAGATGCAAGGTGACAGGACTGCGTTGGTCTGAGCGTAGGCGGCTAGGATAATCGCATGATCTCGGAGAGTCATCGAATCAAGTTCCTTCAGACAAAAACCCGAAATATAGAGCCCTGTTGAAGAACCCTTCTAGAACCCGTTAAAGCGAGAAGCTTCGATGAGCCGAAAACCCCAAATCCTGAACCCTTTCAAGCCCATTTAGAAAGAAGGCCTTAAGACAGCCTGCAAGGAGCCCCTTAAAGGACGCTAAGCTGAACTAGCCCGAAACCCTATACCCGTTAAGGGAGCCCTTAAACCATTCTTACCCTTTGAGGAACCCAAAACCAGAACTTGTACCCTTTAAAGGAACCCTCAAAACGGTTCCCTGAGAGGAACCCTCAAAAGGGTTCCCTGTCAAGGAACCTGCAGGAACCTTTCAGGAACCCTGAATGGAACCCCAAACCCCAAACCCTATAAACCCCAAACCCTATAAACCCCAAACCCTATAAGTCCCAAACCCTATAAACCCCAAACCCTATAAATCCTATAAACCCTATAAATCCTGTAAACCCCAAAACCCAAAACCCAAAACCCTAAACCCTAAACCCCATAAGCTTCAAGCCCTAAACCCTAAACCCTAAACCCTAAACCCCACAAGCTGCAAGCCCTTGACCCTGAAGCCACCTAAGGTCCTTGGGCTGCTGGGCGGATGGCGTCCACGCGCAGTGCCGCTTCTGTGGCAAGGCCCGGGCCTCAGCAAGTGCTTTGGGAGCGGTTTAGTATAGGGGCCTTACGGTTTAGGGTTTAGGGTTAAGGTTTAGGGTTTAGGGTTTAGGGTTCAGGGTTTTGGGGTTTGGGGTTTAGGGTTTGGGGTTTAGGGTTAGTTACCTATACTAGTTTTGGGGGCTCCTTAGTATAATTATAGTAGAATGGGCCCCAAAACCCTATTCTAATCATTAAGGCCCCCTACATTAGGGTGTCCGGCAGCTTGCAAGCGGTTTAGGCTTTGGGGTTAAGGGTACCTTGTAAGGGGTTTAGGGTTTCGGGTACCTGATCACGGGTTTAGGGTTTAGGGGTTTTTGGGTACCTGATACGGGGTGCTATAGGTTCTAGACGGGGTTTGGTGCCAGCAAGGTTGCTGGAAGAATCAAAGGCTTCTCTGAGGGTCGGATTCGTGCGACTGTGTTTTTGTTTATGATTTTGTGATTTCCGGGTTTAGGGTTTTCGGGATCAGGGGTTTGGGTCTATAGGGCTTCAGGGGTTCGGATCTATAGGGCTTCAGGGGTTTAGCATCTTGGGGTTTGAAATTTCATGGTTTGCGGGTGGGGGTGGCTTGGGCGTTGGGCGTTGGGGAACCCTAAACCCTAAATGCCACTTTCCGGACTTTTAGGATACCTCTGGGGACTGTTGGGGTTGCCATGCGAAGGTTCGGGATCATGGAACCCTCCTGTGGGCGGGTTGGTTTAGGATTTAGGGTTTAGGGCCTGGGATGTTTGAAGCGTCTGGAGGGTCGTTGGGGCCTTGATAGTTAGAATAAGGTTTTGGTGTATACTGTACTATAATCATAATAAGGAACCCCCAAAACCCTGTTCTAATTATTAAGGCTCCTACATTAATTGCAAGGTGCCTTGCAAAAACGAGGGGCGTCCCGAGCTCCAAACCGCGACCTTTCCCGTTCCCACCATCCCAACACTCGAAATCTCCGAGCCGCGAAACCCCTTCTTGTCCCCGAAACTCTGCAGCAACCATAGCCCCGGATTTTTCGGTGGCTCTAGAAGGGTCCTGTAAGGCTTCTACACGGGTGCTATAAGGGTCTTATATGGGTTGAGGGGTTCCTTATTCTGAACGTTTAGACCACCAAAACTCCAAACCTTGGTTGCACCCATCCCCCCGCCGCCCTCCCCAACAGGCTCCTTATGTGCCTATTGATTGCCCGCCGGATGCGACGGTCCCCCTGGTGAAGGCCCGTGCGTAAAGCCTAAAGCTCAGTGGCTGATAGGATTTGGGTTATGATCACAAGCCCTAAACTCCAAAAAAAGACCCTAAACCCTGCAGCCGCTAACCCACCTTGAGATTTGAGGGCTTTTGGGTCTTGGTGTTCAGGGCTTTGAAATTTTGGTGTCTTATTAGGGCAGGGTGCCAAAGAGCGGTGGAAACCCCAAGCCCTAAACCATAAATCCCCCAAACCCTACGCCTTACACCCCACACGTCTGAGAGTCCTGAACTTAACCTGAGGTCCTCAACCTTCATAACCCTAAACCCTAAACCCTAAACCCTAAACCCCCTAAACCCCCTAAACATAGGGTTATGAGACTGCTGAACTTCCTTTCAGGTCCTTCCGGAAGGTTTGTTTAAGGACTTGAAGAGATTAGACCTTCCGAAGATGGCGGTATCCTGAAGTCCATCTGCGGCTGGCTCCGGAACGCCCGTCCTAAATAATAAGGCTACACATGTCAGATTTCTTAAGAAACGAAGGCAGCTCCATATTCAGGCCCACCGGGGTTGGAGTTCGGGTGGGAGGGGTGCAGGTTCTTTGGGCTTGTTGGGGCTCGGGACTGGGGTTTCGAGACGGCAGAAAAATGGTGTAGTGTGGAGGATTCACGTTCATGGCTTCCGAGCATGACCGCCTAGCAATCCCTGGTTGTGGGACTTTGTAGGTTTAGGGTTCAGGGTTTAGGGATGGTTTTGGTCGGATGGAGAGGGGATTTCGATTAGGAGTGTAGTCGTGGTCGGTTGCGGCATGAGTTGGGGCCCGATCAGGAATGAGACAGAGGATGGGGCATTCGGCTTCGGCAAGAATTCGTAGAGGTGCTGATCAAAAAGGAGCACCCTCAACCCTGAGCCACTAAACCTAAGTTTTAAGGGAGCGCTGCTACCACCTCTTCCCCACGCGCCCTAAACCCCTAACCGCTCGATCAAGCAAAGTGTTCAAACTTCGGGTTCCCGTTCAGGTACCTAGTGACCTAGTGCTTGTCATGTATCCGAATTAGTCATGAACCCTAAACCCTAAACCCTAAACCCTAAACCCTAAACCCTAAACCCCAACCTGACGGTGAACCCCAACAAGTCCCAAACGAGACCCAGTGCCAGGAGTGCAACTTCAAAAACCCTCCGGTGCACCTTGTGCTGCAATGGTGTGCCAGAATTCATGAGCCTACACCAACCCCCTAATTCCCCCGAAACACAAAGCAGAGCACGAAAGCTCAAACCGCGACCCTTTATCCCTAAACACGCGGAGTCCGAAGTATCTGACCATTAAGCCTTCGAGTCTCAACCATATGGTCTTCTTTGCAGAGCAAAGTCGAGCTTCGATCGCTTTGAAGCATAGCTACGGTTTTCGATTTCGGGTTTAGGTTGTAGAGTTAAGGTTTGGGGGCTTGGTTTGAGTACTACTGTGGGGTGTGGGGCATGGTTTAACAAATACCGTGTAGTTTCCAAAATCCTCTCCGGCCGTCAGGGTGTGGAATCGAAGCAAGTCTATCGGTCTTGCTACACTGCATAGAGAACTACAGCAACCAACATCGTGCGTATTTTCTGTGCTTCTCCTTGTCCCTGCCAATGAAAGTACGGATATCATGTTGCTTCGCGGCGCCGCTATCATTATCTTCATGATCGACATTCTCACGCTTGTCACCACAAGCATATTCTCGCTCTCACTACGCTTTCGTCACGATGGTGATGGTGATGGTGATGGTGATGTTGATGACCATATTTATTTTCATCACCCTCCCCACGTATCACTGTCATGGCCATAGCCAGTTGCACCTTCACTCAACCGTCATCTTGAGGATCGTCGTGATCATCATGAAGATCATCAACCTTACCATCTGGGTGATTCTTCAAATCCGGGCCCCTTTGGGGTTGTCAGAAGGCTGCCGGCCTCTTTTGGCTTCCTAAAAAGGGACACTAAGAAAGAGAACTACCTATCTCCACAACCCCAAAAACCCTAAATTTAGAGAACTACCCATCTCCACAACCCCAAAACCCTAAATTTACAGACTACCCATCTCCACAGCCCTGAACCCCAAAACCCCAGCATCAGCCAAGAGAAGCGAGCGCTGACACCCCGAAACTGCGAACGGGAGAGCAGAGGCAGAAACCCAAGCCGCCCGAAACGAAACGCCCCGACCTCGTTGCAGCGACGTTACAAGCTTGAGATCGAAAGTTTCGTGTACAAGTGCCATCAAGTGCCGCAAGGGCCCGAACTTTAAGCCCTGTATGCGCTAAACACTTGACATTTGTGCCTCAAAACCTAACAGTTCTACCTGAATCTAGGCTTCAACATCTCAAAGTTGTAGCTGAATGAATACAGGCTTCAAAAAACTCAAGAGCTGAATCTCAATCAAAGTCCTTCACCGCAAGCCCGGAAGCCACGACATGGGCTTAGGACGCCCTTCTACTGGGAACCGGCATGCGTAAACCACCTGTTGGGTTGCAACGCGGATGGAGAGAACCTCGGAATTTCTTAGGATTTCCGGCTTTGTGCTTTTAGGGTTTAGGGTTTAGGGTTTAGGGTTTAGGGTTTAGCGTTCAGGGTGTTGGGTTTAGGTTTTAGGGTTTAGGGTTTAGGGCTTAGCGTTTAGGGTTGCCGGCTACGAATGTAGCACCGGGCAAGACGGACCGAGCTGGCCAGCAGAAGCCGCAACAAACCCCAGGCATACCAGCTGGATCGGTGCCCTCGATCCCTTTGGGTCCCTACCTTAAGAACCCAAATCCCACTTTTTTGGTAGGTTCTTATTATAAACCCTAATATGGGATTTATAGGGACCCTACAAAAAAGTAGGTTTTGGGTTCTCACTGTATAGCCCTGCCATGATAATGATAAAAATGGTTTGGGGGTGAAGAGGACTAAGAGGTGGGATCGGGTCGAGATCTTGCAGAGTTGTGATTGGGGCTTCTGGGTTTTGTGGGATGAAGGGCATAAGGGGTGTTAAGGGGTTTGAGTGCTTGGTTTGTTTCAGTGTCAGGGTGTTGTGTTTTGGGCTTAAACAAACAACCGAAGCCGGAAAATGCGTCACTGACGAACAGGACTACTGGACAGGACTGAGTTGCTGGAGGGCAACATCCCTCCTGACTGGACAAACCCTGGAGGCCGAAAGACAAGCGCAGCCTGTGCAGAACAGGTCGTGACCGCCACTACTCCCTTTGTGACCGCCGCAAACACCACAGCTCATGCAAGGCGCTTCCAAAGCCCTTCATGCTTAGAATGTGGAGTTTTGGGGTATATTCTTGCATAAACTATATAAATACCGTTATTTCTCATACAGTCAGGATCGTTAAGAGTTGTATGGTACATATTTAGGACCGGAGCCCCGTGGCTTCATCTGGCCACTAGGGGCTTCCTGCTTAGCCCGGTAGATGAGCCGAAGTGGGATGGGCCGGGCCAGGTTTAGAGTTTGGGTTTAGGGTTTGGGGTTTTAGAGCTTAGGGTGTAGAGTTTGGGTTTAGGGTTTGGGGTTTAGGGTTTAGGGGTTAGGGTTTTTAATGGTCTTGGGGGACCTAAACCTCTGAACCCTAAGCCCCAACCTAAACCCTAAACCCCAGCCCCAAACTCTGAACCCTTGGCCCGACACCCCATGGACCCTCAACCCTAAACCTTTTTGCTTTAGGGTTTAGGGTTTAGGGTTGGGATTGAGCTGTACCTTTTTGCTTTTCTAAGGTTGAAACCATGGGCCCCTAGTATGGGCCCTTAACCCTGGGATCCTTGTACACCTACTATATACCCTATATGTACCCTTAAGGGTCCCTAGAAAAACCTCAGGGTCCATATTAGGGGCCCATACTTCTAACCCTTTTGCTTTAGGAGTCTTAGGGGTTTGGGATTGAGCTGAGGGTGTCGAAGCCGCGATGGGTGAGGGTTCGGACATTGCCATGGCATGATGTTTTCTGCCCGGTCTAAATCTTCGAATCTAAGGAAACGCAGAAGTCCCAACCTGCTCCCACTCGCTCTGTGTCTCGTCCCGTCCTTGGATGCTTGTTCCATTATTTTTGACAATATGAACATCAGAGGTCGCGATGGCCGCCCT